TTAAAAAGCAGCGGAGCTTTGTAAACAGCTCAGAGTAATCACGTCATCTCCATAAGAACGATATGATTGCCAGAACCAAATTTACCGGGATTTTTGAAAAGGTCCTGTTCACACATGATCTCTTTCTCTTAATGGTAACTTACCGGTAATTCACCAGTGAAGACTGCATGTGTGGCATCAACTCTTCCTCTGCATTTGCTGTGAATTTGAATTGCTTAACGTTCATCTGGGAAAACGGTGTGCATTATCTCACTAGACTTGTAACCGTCATACTAAAGCCTGGTTTTCACTTAGGTCTATTTGTGTTACTAAAAAATATCAAATTACTCAATTGTCAAAATAATCAGTGGTATTAAAATATTGTCTCGTTCTAGTGAACCAAGTATCTGTATTTTGTCTCATCTCTCTGTATTGTCATACCTCTAGTGTCGATAAGCGGTGATATAGCTTGTAATTTTCCAAGTGTATATAGCTTTCATTCTTCAGGTCAACCATTTATTAATGAAAAAAAATACATGGTATTTTTTTATACCATGTATTTGTATAAAAATATGGTATTTTTATATAAAATGAGCAAAATCCCACCCCTTGCTTTAACCCCTGCATAAATAAAATTATATATATTAAAATATTAATATTAAATAATAATATTAAAATTAAAAATATATATCATAGTAAACAATTCTTTCGACAATTCACTCATATATTATTTATTTCAACCCATCTTTAACCCATTGAAAATACCCATTCTGTCAGAAGAATTGTGCTATTGTTTAACATGTGCAACCAACACGTCACCTTTCTATTGAAGAAAAGCTTGCCACAGTTTATCCCTTACTTCCATTTGACCCTTCCAATGTCCAATCTTTTGAATGTTCCTGACCCCTATTATTCTGCTTGAGCAACCCTTTTGTACCAAATGCTGCAATATACACTTTCTCTTACCTTCAGCACCTATTTTTGCCATGGTTTTACTGAATCTCTGTGTTTGGACTCTCTATTTTCCTGCTGCTTTCTAACTGTGGTCTTCACTTCTAGGTCTTCAGTGTTTTTCAGTCTTGAGTATCCCGCTTCCCCCTATTTAAAGCGACTGACAGCATCATGTCAGCACAGTATTCTCATGGCTTAACATGCAATGTACACTGCATGGCACTAAGAGCCATGTTTACATTCCCAAGCTCAACCTTAGCAACCTGTCATGTATGACAGCTCAACCTGATTTTAAACTAGCCCACGCCAACTATGCCCTACCCTGCACAGGTAACCAGAATCACAGGTTGCTCCTTTTTAAGTCAACACAACTCATGCACCACCAGTATACTGTAAGTGCAGTATTATTAGCAAGCTTCTGGAAAGCACAAGCTGACACGCACACGGCCCAGAGGAATACTCTGTTCCAAACAGCATCCCGTAACGTCATAATCAGTATTCATACAGCACCGTGACTGAAGTTACACTCACCTTGTTTTGCTAGACCTTAAAAATTAGCATGGAAGAACACAAGGCTTAAAGTAAATGAGCAAAACATTCTCAAAACACACCAATTCAGACAAACTCCAGTGTGAGCATTTATTTACCTGCGCTTTGAGAAGGTCAGGCAACCACAGAGTTGTCTCGGAGAGAGTATAGAGGGTGTCAGACAGAATAGCTCTTTTTATTTGCTCCTATTAACACCGTGTCTCCTCCGATCTTTCCTCATTTGTAGGGAAACAATTGGGAGAAGCTGAACTCCGCCCTGCAGCGCAGCACTAGCTCCATACCTGCCCATCCTACTGAGCCTATGCCCCCTCCCCTTACCTCACATTTCTTTGTCTGAAGGATTAACTCACTTTCTTCACCATCTCAAAGACGGAAGAGGCTAACTTTCATTTCAACATACAAGTCCAGCCCACTTAGTGCCATACATTCGCAGTATTCTTCTCGTTTTGCAGAATTTGATTAAAATTAACTGTAATTTCATGTAATCAAAGGGTGCAAACCATTAAATTACAGTGAAATCATTCTCATAAAGCTATATCAAACAGCAAATAATTAACAGTCAAATGTTATGCATGTCATTAGTGTAATTAAACTAACTGTTAAATAGCTTTAAATGAAAACAAACATTTTTGCAAAGTCATTGGCTTGCACAAGTCATTCAAAGTGCAAAAAGGAAAGTGCTTCATTACAAGTAGGTTACTTATAGAAACGCGCAGCGCTTTCTCTTTTGATAGAGCACTTTATGACATGCTTGCAAAGAATGTTACGGACACCTTGTCATGCTATGCTTTTAACCTACTTTGACTGAGTGACAACGCCAGACAATACGTCTGCAGGCCACCTTTTTAGTAGTTTGTTCCAGTGGACCTGCACACTGGCCTTTTACAAAGACAAAAGTGACACATTTTTAAGGTAACATGTAGCGTTCAGATACAATATTAACATATACTATGCCAAACTTACCTCTCCCTAAGATGGGCGTTGATTGTTGCTTGGATAGAGGAGTTCCTTTTCTGCTCATTTTGCACAGCGTAGTAGATGCAACACGATCTATGAAACTTCCACCTGAGAGACAGAGGCAAAGTCCTCATGTTCTTAAAATGCATTGCAGGAATATTCCTGAAAAATTCCACAGTAAAAGCACCACGATGAATGTATGTGTTGTTATTTTATAAGAATACCACATTAACATGGGCTGTTTACCTTTCAGTCAGTTGATGACAGCTAACTGCCAATCTTGTGGTATTCAAAAACAGGAAAAGGAAATTTGTAAGTACTAACAATCTGGCAGACACTATTACTATAACGTCAGATACAAAAGCAAAACATTTAAGGAAATTGCTATTTCCTAGTGTGTTTACTGAATATCCTGAGCACTTCTTTTTCAGCATTTTACTGGTGTAAAACAGCTCCCGTTAAATGCTAGAATGTTGTTAGTTGTTATCTTACCTAATCTAAAAGAACAGTTTTGCAGTTCTGAATAAGGAAATGCCTGAACATTCAAAACATGCCACCACCCCTGATAAAACTGTACCATCTTTAATCCATCAATTGTAAAGGTTAATCCATTTTACAAAGGGAGATATGTAAACAGTGTAAGATAGAGACAGAGTAAAAGTATGTACATGGATTAAGACTCAAGAAAAGTAGTGTGGAATGAGGCATGAGCCCACAACAGGTTCAGACCTGCAAGATATGCTAGAAAAGAGGCCACAGGTTACAGCACTTCTACTGAGGTAACCAAAGAGCCAAGGGGTTAGTAAACATTGTTTTAAAGAGATATTAACCAGCTCGCCTTACGGATGCAGATCTCTGTTTTTTTTCTCCCTGCAGTCGTGCTGTCTCTCTCTCTCTCTCTCTGTGTGTGACTGTCCCCTGTGACACTCTGCTGTGCTCTGTAATGCAGCACTCACTGGGTGTGAACTGTGAAGATATGACTCAAGGCTCTTACAAGCAACATCTGCCAAGTGAAAAATGTCACAGCACTTAACCCTTTCAGTGCTTGTGGTGGAAACTTTGTTTTTATGAGGCTTGGATCTTGTGGTGGGTTTTCTGGGTATTTCATTTCTCTGAAACTTTTATTGTGTTTTGCATATCTTCTCAGGGTGTTTAAGGAGACTTTGGACGTTCTGTTGTTATATAGCCTAAACCTACCGTATATTTGCAGATGAAAACAAAAAATGAGCGCACAAAAGTCATATTTTGGTTATGTTACTCACTCACTGTGTACACATACACCTGCCATTCTATTAGTCTGAGCAGAGAACTGGCTAGAACTGATGGTATCTTTCAAGCATAACTTATTTGTGTCGCTTTTACATTTTTATCCATATTAAAATAGGCCTACGTTACACAGACGCCACTGACTCTGCGTCCATCTGCGTTTCTAGCGTCATGCCCGTGGATGAGCACCGCGTTTTTAGTCGCTGTGTCAAATAACATGAACTTCTACATAATGCATCTCGAGACCAATTCATCTCATTGTGAGTGTACATTATTTTAAGCATAATTTTGAGAAGTACAATTCTTTTAAATGTAGCTTTTCTTTTAATTACAAAACAATGTGGAAGTGGTCTGTTTCCCTTATCTCACAACTCATCACATGAACGATGTTTCGCAAGACTGCCTTTTTATCTGTAGGTTAAGTGACAGTTAAATTACCTAATCTTTATATTACTTTTGATTTTATCAGTGTTCTTCATTTTGATGCTTTTCCTTTTGCTATTGCTAAAATTACGATTAATATGTTGCGTTTAGCGTGTATAATAATTGAAGGGGAAAGCGCGCCCTCTGCTGGATTTGTAATGTAGCTCTTGAAGTTCTTATTTTCCCCACATACCATTAAATTAAACGGATTTGTTTTTATTTAGCTTTTTTGCAGATATTTTAGGTAATTTTTTTATATTATACTGTGTCTACTTTACTTAAGTGACAGTAATTATAGTATTAAAATATTGTCTCGTTCTAGTGAACCAAGTATCTGTATTTTGTCTCATCTCTCTGTATTGTCATACCTCTAGTGTCGATAAGCGGTGATATAGCTTGTAATTTTCCAAGTGTATATAGCTTTCATTCTTCAGGTCAACCATTTATTAATGAAAAAAAATACATGGTATTTTTTTATACCATGTATTTGTATAAAAATATGGTATTTTTATATAAAATGAGCAAAATCCCACCCCTTGCTTTAACCCCTGCATAAATAAAATTATATATATTAAAATATTAATATTAAATAATAATATTAAAATTAAAAATATATATCATAGTAAACAATTCTTTCGACAATTCACTCATATATTATTTATTTCAACCCATCTTTAACCCATTGAAAATACCCATTCTGTCAGAAGAATTGTGCTATTGTTTAACATGTGCAACCAACACGTCACCTTTCTATTGAAGAAAAGCTTGCCACAGTTTATCCCTTACTTCCATTTGACCCTTCCAATGTCCAATCTTTTGAATGTTCCTGACCCCTATTATTCTGCTTGAGCAACCCTTTTGTACCAAATGCTGCAATATACACTTTCTCTTACCTTCAGCACCTATTTTTGCCATGGTTTTACTGAATCTCTGTGTTTGGACTCTCTATTTTCCTGCTGCTTTCTAACTGTGGTCTTCACTTCTAGGTCTTCAGTGTTTTTCAGTCTTGAGTATCCCGCTTCCCCCTATTTAAAGCGACTGACAGCATCATGTCAGCACAGTATTCTCATGGCTTAACATGCAATGTACACTGCATGGCACTAAGAGCCATGTTTACATTCCCAAGCTCAACCTTAGCAACCTGTCATGTATGACAGCTCAACCTGATTTTAAACTAGCCCACGCCAACTATGCCCTACCCTGCACAGGTAACCAGAATCACAGGTTGCTCCTTTTTAAGTCAACACAACTCATGCACCACCAGTATACTGTAAGTGCAGTATTATTAGCAAGCTTCTGGAAAGCACAAGCTGACACGCACACGGCCCAGAGGAATACTCTGTTCCAAACAGCATCCCGTAACGTCATAATCAGTATTCATACAGCACCGTGACTGAAGTTACACTCACCTTGTTTTGCTAGACCTTAAAAATTAGCATGGAAGAACACAAGGCTTAAAGTAAATGAGCAAAACATTCTCAAAACACACCAATTCAGACAAACTCCAGTGTGAGCATTTATTTACCTGCGCTTTGAGAAGGTCAGGCAACCACAGAGTTGTCTCGGAGAGAGTATAGAGGGTGTCAGACAGAATAGCTCTTTTTATTTGCTCCTATTAACACCGTGTCTCCTCCGATCTTTCCTCATTTGTAGGGAAACAATTGGGAGAAGCTGAACTCCGCCCTGCAGCGCAGCACTAGCTCCATACCTGCCCATCCTACTGAGCCTATGCCCCCTCCCCTTACCTCACATTTCTTTGTCTGAAGGATTAACTCACTTTCTTCACCATCTCAAAGACGGAAGAGGCTAACTTTCATTTCAACATACAAGTCCAGCCCACTTAGTGCCATACATTCGCAGTATTCTTCTCGTTTTGCAGAATTTGATTAAAATTAACTGTAATTTCATGTAATCAAAGGGTGCAAACCATTAAATTACAGTGAAATCATTCTCATAAAGCTATATCAAACAGCAAATAATTAACAGTCAAATGTTATGCATGTCATTAGTGTAATTAAACTAACTGTTAAATAGCTTTAAATGAAAACAAACATTTTTGCAAAGTCATTGGCTTGCACAAGTCATTCAAAGTGCAAAAAGGAAAGTGCTTCATTACAAGTAGGTTACTTATAGAAACGCGCAGCGCTTTCTCTTTTGATAGAGCACTTTATGACATGCTTGCAAAGAATGTTACGGACACCTTGTCATGCTATGCTTTTAACCTACTTTGACTGAGTGACAACGCCAGACAATACGTCTGCAGGCCACCTTTTTAGTAGTTTGTTCCAGTGGACCTGCACACTGGCCTTTTACAAAGACAAAAGTGACACATTTTTAAGGTAACATGTAGCGTTCAGATACAATATTAACATATACTATGCCAAACTTACCTCTCCCTAAGATGGGCGTTGATTGTTGCTTGGATAGAGGAGTTCCTTTTCTGCTCATTTTGCACAGCGTAGTAGATGCAACACGATCTATGAAACTTCCACCTGAGAGACAGAGGCAAAGTCCTCATGTTCTTAAAATGCATTGCAGGAATATTCCTGAAAAATTCCACAGTAAAAGCACCACGATGAATGTATGTGTTGTTATTTTATAAGAATACCACATTAACATGGGCTGTTTACCTTTCAGTCAGTTGATGACAGCTAACTGCCAATCTTGTGGTATTCAAAAACAGGAAAAGGAAATTTGTAAGTACTAACAATCTGGCAGACACTATTACTATAACGTCAGATACAAAAGCAAAACATTTAAGGAAATTGCTATTTCCTAGTGTGTTTACTGAATATCCTGAGCACTTCTTTTTCAGCATTTTACTGGTGTAAAACAGCTCCCGTTAAATGCTAGAATGTTGTTAGTTGTTATCTTACCTAATCTAAAAGAACAGTTTTGCAGTTCTGAATAAGGAAATGCCTGAACATTCAAAACATGCCACCACCCCTGATAAAACTGTACCATCTTTAATCCATCAATTGTAAAGGTTAATCCATTTTACAAAGGGAGATATGTAAACAGTGTAAGATAGAGACAGAGTAAAAGTATGTACATGGATTAAGACTCAAGAAAAGTAGTGTGGAATGAGGCATGAGCCCACAACAGGTTCAGACCTGCAAGATATGCTAGAAAGCCACACACAGGTTACAGCACTTCTACTGAGGTAACCAAAGAGCCAAGGGGTTAGTAAACATTGTTTTAAAGAGATATTAACCAGCTCGCCTTACGGATGCAGATCTCTGTTTTTTTTCTCCCTGCAGTCGTGCTGTCTCTCTCTCTCTCTCTCTGTGTGTGACTGTCCCCTGTGACACTCTGCTGTGCTCTGTAATGCAGCACTCACTGGGTGTGAACTGTGAAGATATGACTCAAGGCTCTTACAAGCAACATCTGCCAAGTGAAAAATGTCACAGCACTTAACCCTTTCAGTGCTTGTGGTGGAAACTTTGTTTTTATGAGGCTTGGATCTTGTGGTGGGTTTTCTGGGTATTTCATTTCTCTGAAACTTTTATTGTGTTTTGCATATCTTCTCAGGGTGTTTAAGGAGACTTTGGACGTTCTGTTGTTATATAGCCTAAACCTACCGTATATTTGCAGATGAAAACAAAAAATGAGCGCACAAAAGTCATATTTTGGTTATGTTACTCACTCACTGTGTACACATACACCTGCCATTCTATTAGTCTGAGCAGAGAACTGGCTAGAACTGATGGTATCTTTCAAGCATAACTTATTTGTGTCGCTTTTACATTTTTATCCATATTAAAATAGGCCTACGTTACACAGACGCCACTGACTCTGCGTCCATCTGCGTTTCTAGCGTCATGCCCGTGGATGAGCACCGCGTTTTTAGTCGCTGTGTCAAATAACATGAACTTCTACATAATGCATCTCGAGACCAATTCATCTCATTGTGAGTGTACATTATTTTAAGCATAATTTTGAGAAGTACAATTCTTTTAAATGTAGCTTTTCTTTTAATTACAAAACAATGTGGAAGTGGTCTGTTTCCCTTATCTCACAACTCATCACATGAACGATGTTTCGCAAGACTGCCTTTTTATCTGTAGGTTAAGTGACAGTTAAATTACCTAATCTTTATATTACTTTTGATTTTATCAGTGTTCTTCATTTTGATGCTTTTCCTTTTGCTATTGCTAAAATTACGATTAATATGTTGCGTTTAGCGTGTATAATAATTGAAGGGGAAAGCGCGCCCTCTGCTGGATTTGTAATGTAGCTCTTGAAGTTCTTATTTTCCCCACATACCATTAAATTAAACGGATTTGTTTTTATTTAGCTTTTTTGCAGATATTTTAGGTAATTTTTTTATATTATACTGTGTCTACTTTACTTAAGTGACAGTAATTGAAAAGCGAAACTTTTATTGTACTTTTTATTGTATACTTTTAAGAAATGAAATACATTAAAAATGTAATTTCATTTTATCACTTATCAGGCTAGATGGAATCAGTGACGGCGCTACACCGGGGCTAGGGGGGCTATAGCCCCGTCAGAATTTTTAATAGCCCCAGTTTAGCCCCATTTCTTTATGAAGTAACTCTGACGTCATCAATATCATTTATTTTCTTAGCACCCCCACATATTGGTCTAGCCCCCCCTTAGCACCGGTAGAGAAAAAATTCTGGCGCCGTGCCTGGATGGAATCAACACACAAGTTGTTATATTCATTCGGACCACTTAATATTTTATTATTATGATTTTTTTCAAGGTAAAGAACCGAAAGCTGCCATGGAAATAATGAAAATAACACAGGCAAGTTTTCCTTCCTCGCTCTTGCTGGAGTTTAATAGGTCATTAATTAACATGTGTCACATTATTGAATGATTCATGTGGAAAAAATGCTTCTCATATAGCGATATGAACTTAAAGGATAAACATCTTATTTCAAAATAAACCATAGATGCCCTTTTTCTGTATACAATAGTTTCTTAAGAATACATGTACAATATGTAGATATAAATATGAACTTTTAAGATACAGTATTTTCATAATATAATATAATATCTTTGTACACATTAATAACAGACTACATAACAATATTAAAGTGAAATATTGCACGGCTCCCATAGTATATATAAATCAGTCTTCAAGTATGTGGATGTCCTTGAGGACAACAAAAATTATTTCTTCTATAAAGAGTTCTCTCTCCGTTCTTCATCATTGGTCCTCCAAGGTAAATAGCTTTAAGTCATAAAAGTTGGTTCCTTTTCCCTCTTCTTGCTATTCTCTCTCCGTCCTCTTCAATGTAAGTTTGGGCTGGCAGAGTTCTAGGCTGTTCCTTCATTCCTCCAGCAGAGGGCGCATCAGTGCTGCAGAAGAGACAGAGAGTCAAGTCCCAAAGCTCCATTAGAATGACAAGAATGCTAAACACATGCACAGAGCATTGACCACCTATTTCCTGTCGTATTGACAAATAAAATGTTTGTGATTTTTTTTTTTTTCCCAACTGATAGCACTCCTATTTTCCACAACCACTTTAAGTGACCTGAATCCTTCTCAGTCCAACCCATCAGGCAGAGGATGGAGAGAAGGATGCTCCAGTTGCTCCTATGTGCCTGAAGAGAGTACACTAATGTTCAGCAAAGGGTGTATCAGAAGTATCTCAGTAAACCGAGCCAATAGAAACCAAAGGCTCAGGACAAACCGCAGAGGTGTTCTCGGGTTGTTCTTTAATGGAGAGATTGAACCCATGCCAGCTTTAGACGGCTTTTGTGGAAGGTTAGCGCAGGGAGGTTTGATGGAACTAACGTCTCCGCCTCCGTCCATAGCCCTTGGAGCTGATCTTTTCAGCAGGGGCGTTGTTCGTCTTTGTGTTGATCATATTCAGCAGGTGGGCCAGTTCGTGCACCGAGCAGGTGGACAGAACACAGCCCGCTCTTTCCACTCTTTTGACTGAGTAGGCTGGTTCTGTACGCTTTACCCTCACACTCCTGGAGAGAAACAAAAAGCGGTTAGTAGCCTACCCAGCTAACAGGGAACATTCTCAGAATGTCCCGGAAAGA